TCTGAGAATACAAAAACAGGTAAAAAAAACTGTTTGTGATCTGATAACTAGTATATTAGCTTTTCTGTTAATGTAGTATTTTCGAGACGTAACGGTGAAATTACAGAATCAGAAAAATCAATGTCAAATCAAACATGTGACATACAGTAAGATTATAATGCAGTAATGTTCAAGTTAATTGATGCTCACGAATGACCAAAACACTTTTATTAGTTGGTTCGTTTTAAACGTGATTCTTTAACTGGTGTGCTCATCGATGTGGAGAATAAACTGAAATTAATCTCTAACTTTACATTTTAGGGAAGAAAATGAAATCGATAACAACTGAACATTTAAATCCAGGTAATGGATTGGATGAATATGATGAATACAAATATTGTTGTCTGCGCAAAATCACACTACTTTTCTCTCATGCTTACAGATAAAGCCCTGGTTTACGCACCGGGAATCCCAGAACCAACAAGCAGAGCTGAGCTGTTGAAATGTATGAAATCTGAAGGATTATTGACATTTTTATATTACAGGGTTTGCTTTTATAAACTCCGTCCTCCTATTTTTCCTGTAGACTGGCTTAAATTGTCCCTGGATGACAAAACTGCCAACAAGATGTTATGGATTTCTGACAGTGGGTCTAAGGTTTGTCGTAGAACTGAGGAAGTTTGTCCTGTTCTGGATCGACCAGAGAGATATGAGTACTCACCACAGGTAAGTCTGATTTTTTTAAAAAAAAATTTATGTAAATTAAAATGGACAAAATGGTAAAGAGAGATAATGTTTTTTTTTTCTTTTATTGACGTCATCTCCCAAGGTGGTCTGCAAAGAGAGCGTATGGAACATGAGAGCGTACTGGGAGGTGGAATACTCTGGCTGGGCTGTAATTGGAGCAACCTACGAAGGAGCGGGAAGGAGAGCAAATTCTGGGCCAAGTGGTCTCGGAGAAAACGAGGAGTCCTGGGGCATGTGCTGGTCGGGTTCCTGTTTCCAGATTTGGTTTAATGGTTTAAACAAAGACATCGAAAACTTTCCTTACTGCTCAACAATTGGAGTTTACATTGACCAGCCTGCAGGGATTATAAATTTCTATACTGTAACTGGCCAGGGCGCAGACAGGGAGGTTACGCTAATGCATAAAGTGAAGACCTCAAACGACAAGAAGATTCTCCCTGGTTTCTGGATGGGAATTCAGTCTTCGTGCACGTTACTGCCGAAGACCGAATGAAACATTAGTCGCTCTAAATGTCTATAATCCGCAATATTTTTCTATTGTATTTTAAAAAAAATAACCAAGCTTATACCTGTGTTGTTCTATGTAATGTACGTATGTTTGTCTTAGCAGCACCATATTGGGGAAATTAAGGTTTGATGATGAACTTTGTTTAAGAAGGATTGAAATAAAATATTTATTTTAAATTAAAATATCCTCTCAGTTTTGTTTCATTTCGTTGCAGATACGCACCAACTGGACCAAAGTCTAGTCTCGTCCACTATGACATGTGTCCACAGCGTATAACCTATGTGACAGGTCATATGTTTTATTGACCAGGGTGAATAAAGGTTGAGGGCAAAGGTGATTTTTTTTTTTTTTTTTTACAGCACCCTTTTTTAGAAAGTTGATGGGCTTCTTGCAGTATTTTACCGCCTCACTTAACCCTTGTTAATATTTAGCACACCAGCTAGCCTGACTGTCATAAAGTCGGAGGCCTGCTTCTTTAAAAGACCAGTGTGGTGTTGAGTGTCGTTAGCCACCAAAAATAGTGTATCGGTGGACTTAGCTTGTATTCGCTTGAGCAGTTTTTTCGGACTTTTCTGAACCCTGGTTTCAATTCATCAATGCATCAAAATCCTTGCACATTGTGTCAAAAATCTATTAACCTGCAAAATTAAAGTATGCTTTAGACTTAATATTTATACATAAATTATGCTTTGGTTTAGTGCCGCTTTAAATAATACAATTTGGTGAAGGTTAATCTGATGAAAAATGTTGAACAAATGGACGTTTTTATGATTAAAATATAAAGAAATCATGATCACATGACATAACCATACCAGTCAAGACACGCCATACTTTAAAGCTTTCAACAAGATGCCATTCTAATCATTTGGGTAAAAAAAAAAAGCAAATGCACTACATTTGTTCTACTCTGATTGGCCGGTGAAGCTTTAGGGGTTAGGGGTCACCAGCTCGCCCCCTATGGACTACTTGAGGTACCTGTGGGGTGTGTTCTAACAATAAAACTAGTCAGCAAGAGGGTCAAAAATTGTTACTTGAAATGACATTGAAATTGGTGCAATGGCGATGGTAAGAAGAGTGTCTGAGTCCATGGGCGGTTTGGCGCCACCTATTGTGGTACAGTATTTTAAAGGATGTGTTAGAATAGTTTTGAATTGTTTTTTTTTTTAGCTTTTATGCTTTCGTTTTGGCAGTTATGATTATTTCTTTCCTGGTGTGTGTTTTTAGTCAAACTTGATTTAACCGACAACTGCATTTGTCTCATTAAAAGCCAGTTGTGATCATTGAGAGAATCTATATGACTCTATGACCGTATTTTTTTTTCCCTCTCTTGATATTGAGCATTTCATGTTTTGCAAACCGCTATCGCTTGCTTCGTCATAACTTCCGCTTTCGGCCGTGTTGTTTTGGTGTTTGGTCTTTCGGAAAAAATTATCCATGTGTGCTCATTGCCACCACTGCTGTCACTTGATCTAATGCAGGGGTGTCCACACTTTTTTGGCTTGGGAGCTGCTTTTCAAATGACCGGGGTAAAGTGATCTACCTACATTGAAAACTATAAATATATATTTACTACTTTGATTAAATGGCTGTTGTTGTATGGCACAATGCCATCTGACTCAATACCTCTATGGTCCTTACTTTACCCCTTGCAATTAGCATCGTAAAATAGAACTAAATCTATAATTTTTAATTTTCTTTGTTTCTTCAAATGTAATTGCTCTGGATCTACTGGTAGATCCCGATCTACCTTTTTGGGCAGTCCCCCAGTCAGGCAAACAGCTTGGGCACAAACCAACAGAAATAAATCGCCGCCCCTGGTGTCTGCTATCGTGTCCCAGAACTTGACAGAGCAGCATTCTTTTTTTTTTTGACGGCACAAATATCTAGAATCAGTTTTTGATCATGTTTGGCATATGTGTTGCAAATACACAGTAGCCAGACTAGTGCACAAAAATGACAAACAAGGGCGCGCTAGTCTTTACAAAATGAATGAATGCTGAACAAACAATCTCTGAAAAAATGAACTATGAAAAAAGTGCTATTGCAGCGTCTTAAACTGGCCACAGTGGGAATTTGAAAGATGTTTATTTTATATACAGTGCTTTATTAACGTCTCTTCCGGCTCAACCTCTTCCTTCTAATACATTTCTAAATGTTTCAGGTGACCTCACAGAGGACTGCGACCCTCAGGTTGATAAACACAACAGTTGACTTCGTTAAAATCGAAATACTCAAATACACATAGTATAGATATATATAGAAGTGTCTGCTTTTCTACTCTTTATCAATGCAATTGCTGCAAGGAGATCAGCTCCCCTCTATGTAAAAAAAAAAACAAAAAACAAATAGAATAGAGAAACTACACCAGTTAATGTTAAGAATAAGAAGGGTTTGTTGTTTAGACCATTGATTGCCAACCAGGAATGCTGTGGAAAATGATCAAATTTCAATTGAAGTGCAATTCAATCCCCTTCTGCCAGGTGGCAGCAGATGGCTAGGAAAACTAAAAAAAAAAAAACTAGAATATTATTATGTTTCATTACGTATACTTTTTTATGAGATTTTTGTTCGGTGGTGTGCTGTGGGGTTTCTCCTCATGACATAGAGGTGCCGTGGCTCAAAAAAGGTTGGGAAACCCTGGTCAAGACTGTTATAAGAAGTGAGTCTCTCTCACACACAGCAGGTGAAGCTTGGTTTACCTTCAATATATATGCGCATCCATCATTAGGATCACTTTCCCTCACTGACAAGCGGGCCCCCCCATCTCCTGCTGTCTTCACATTGAATGCATAGGCATAACAGGAAGAAAAAAAAGTGGGACACGCTTACAAAACCTAATACAGTCACACAACTGGAGGCCCTGAGCATGATACCAACAGAGTCCAGGACTTCGTATGCTTCAACAACTTTTTTTTGTTTATCTCCATGAAAATACAATATTTAACAAATAGTATTGCATTGCATTGCATGTAGTCACTCACAGTGCAGAGTGTAAGTCCAAAACAAAAACAATGAACCAAGCAGTTTACCCCGACACAGATTGTTGAGGTCACGCCATTAGATTTAATGCAAAGGATTTTCATACGAAAATAGTGCAACTGGACGCGGTAGGTTTCTTCCGAGGCTTCTTTAGTTCTTCCTGGATAAGAGGTGAAACGTCTTCAAGAAACCTACTGCGTCCAGTTGCCCGCCATGTAACTATTTTTGGATAAGATGACCCGTATGACTGAGGACCGACACAGACACGTTATAAATATAGACTAATGCATTTGTTTCTTTGAACTGCTGAGTGAAATAAAATGTTGTTGGGGTTTGTTTTTTTTTTTTCTGACGGATTCTGGATTTTCTAATAGTCCAGCCTTTTTGAGAAGGAAAGCCTTCAAAATAAACAAACATCTAATGAATTTGCTTGAAAGGTTGTCTCCTAAAAAACAATATTAAAAAGAAATGTGTCAAACAAGTGCCAAAGCAGAAGGCCTTAGCGATTTACCGTTAGAACTACGGACGCAAAGATAAGAGTGATCGGCACTCGGTTTTTATTGTGTTAATGCTTTGACAGATTGATATTTAGTTATAGTTGTTTATAAGCACATTACATTTTAATTTTTTTTCACACAGGCGCAGTGGGATGTTCATCAGTAGTGGCTTTGGTCTTGAGGTCTCTACATATCGTCTTCAGTGAGAGTATTTGGCCTGAGCCTAAGACTGCAGTACTTAGATTAGCTACTGTTAATGTGGCATGTGCGGCATTAACACTAGTTAGTTAGTGTAACATGACCACTGTAAAGTTTTCTTTTTTTTTTTTATCACCTCAGTCCTCTGCCTCTTAGGTCTTGCTCAAACTGCAGTTTCACCTCCAGAAAGAGCCAGTTATGACGTGATGATCGTGATGCTCTGGATTCTGAGGCTAAATCAGGCATGGGCAAACTAAGGCTTGGGGGCCCGAATGCGGTCCTTTCAGCTTTTTATTTTGGCCCGCCAAACCTTTCCAAATTATATAATTTCTTTATATTATCATTATACTTTATTTTCCCTGCAATACCTAACGTTTCCCCAAAACATGGCGTAGAAAATGTGAAAAAAAAAGTGTTTTAGCATTTTAGCATTTAGCCATGACTTTGACATGTCATTTATCTATATCATTTCTCAATATCTATATTTTAGTTCACACCAACGCACCATCTATCTGCTCCTGACCCGGCATCTATCTGCTCCTGACCAGGCCACCCTCCGTTCAATTTTAGGACAATTGTGGCCCACGAGTCCAAACGTTTTCTCCATTATATCTTATTCTAAATATAATACTCTGGTAGCGGCAAATAGCTATTTGAGGTAATTAAATAAATGTTTAAGTTAAAAGTCACAGAAAATATTTGAACTGTTGCTGTCTAAAATAAAAGTGCGCAATAAACACCTTTCATTGTAGGTACTGTGGCGGTAACAGTTGATCGTGATTAATTGCTACGTTTTTGGACTGTGCCAGATTCATTTGTTATCTGCCATTTAAAGATTTTAAGACCACGACTTAAAAGATTAAAAGTATATTTTGCAGGAATTCTTCTAATCCCATGTTAACACCCAATTTATATTAAAGTTATATATATATATATATATAAACATCCATTATATATAGTTAAGTGAAATTTAAGGAACACAAGACAAAATGTATGTCTTGCGTAACTGGACATAAACCTGCATACAACACACAACCTCACGTTTAATGTCATGCCACAGTTACAACATTTAAACAGTAATAGCAATAGAGTTATACTACTACTTAAATACTTAACGCGGTTAACTAATGTTAACATGGACTTCAACTGTCTTGTCTTTACTCATTATTATTGTTACAGAACTCGTGTTTACATGAACGTCAAGTCACACTATGGAGAATTTCCAGCCGATAAGCTAGGTAGATCCATCTTTTTTGACAACAGCAGATCGCCTGTCGCAGATGAAGGCAAACAAAACGTAACTCTGATCCCTGAGCGCCAGCGACCCACATGTCTGTGTCTGAATGTGTGAGGTTATGCCAGGCATGTGTACGAGTGTTTATTCTCAGCCTATCCTAGGTTGACGACATATAGCATTTCGTTCTGGAGGGTATCGTATGATGTATATTGGCCCCTTTTCTCCAAGAAGAGAAAAGAGGGCAAGACCCTAAGCGGGTCAGACGGGTGACGCTGGAAGTAAATATGTTTTTAGACTCGCTTGTCAAACTCCCGTTTGTCAGTTATCGTGCTTTCGGCGGGCCCTTGCGCAACATCAGCAGAAGTGATTTAGAAGTCATTAACCTGCTTCTGTTTCTTCTTCTGCACA